ACACATGTTAATAACACAAACTGAATTCACCTTAAATATAGCATCCCTAGAGGGTAATAGAGCATATTTTACTCCCTTCATTTCAATGTATTTGTATCACTTTTCTTTTTAGTACGTTTAAAAGAATGTCTCTTTACTTTTTTAGCAACTCTTTATTTCTAACTTTTCTCATGACATGTTAAAGATCACAAGTTCAAAAGGGCATTTTGGCACATCCTATATATTTTTAGTTTAAGACCATAAAACTCAAGAGCCTTTATTACTTGTAAAAAAATACATAAAACATGAATTTCTCCTTTAACATATAACATGCATATAAGAGATTATTCTCATAAAACATCAGCTTCCAAAATATACCTACTAAATAATAAAGAACTTTTAAATTCAAAAGTAATTATCAAGATTAGCATATTAAACAAAAACCATAACAAAATTCTGAAAATTGGAAGCAGAGAAGAGCAAGTATTATCATACCAAAGATTTTGGAAGTTGCTCCTAGTGTAAGTAAATAGCAAAGAATGATGAACGGAGATTGGCATATGTGTATCTCCTCTAAGTAGCAAATAGAACATGTTGAAAGAAGCCTTAAGAATATTTGCAATTAGCAAGTAGTACTTGTTTAATGAGTGCCCAAATAAAATACAACTTACATTACTTTTGGTACAAGTATTTACCTTTAATTTTAATTTCTCAATATAGAAAAGAATGGACATAAATTCAATTTTTTTTTACAGCCATGAACTCTTTCAGTGCTTTAATCCCATAATCCTTTTTAGTGTTGTTTGAGTAAACCTAAAGCATTCCTCAACCTAGATACCCAGTTCTCTTCAAAGTTTGATCCAAAGATGAAAGAAAAATAGCAATGGACGTAAAACCTAAACAATATACTACAACATAAAAATATATATTGTAAGAGATTGATATATACTTGTAAGTGCTTTTACTAAATTATCTTCTGCCTCTCTAATTAAGCTCAGTTTTCAATTTTCCAAGATCTGCAGCCATGCCTAAAAGCATCAAAGCAAAAAGATACTTAATTAGTAAGATTTAACATGAACATGGGCAGCAGGAAAAATTGATGCTTTTTAAAAAAAAAATAAGAGTTCAATTCAATCCCAAATAGAAAATACCCTTCAAAGGCGGATACTTTTTAGAATGTAGTATTTTCAATTTTACCCTGGAATTGAAGGGTTTCTTCAGCTTGGAGGTTGGTTAAATTCAAAGATTTTTGAAAAGAGATGGTGCCTGCATCTATACTCTGTTGTTGAATTTGTAAATCCCTATTACATGTAAACCTAAGTTGCTCCATTTTGTTTAGTCTAACATTTAGAGTTTACAAATGAAAATTTTGGTACTTGTCAAAATGGTATAGATACATGAAAAAAGAAAAAGAAAAGGAAAGACCAAGAAATCTACCTCATACCCAGTTGAATTTTGAGGTCTTTGTTGGTATGTGGCAGAAGAATTTTTTTGTTGTACTCTCTTATAATATGACTCATCAATGCTAAATTGAGACGGGTCTACACTTCTGGGCATAGGAGATGAAGAAGAAGTGGATTCAAAATAGGAATTTTGTGCATGCAACATACCTACATCCACATAACTATGAAGGAGCAAAAATTGAAAGCAATATCAAAACAATCGAACATAAAATCAACAAAACAGGACAAAGTTTAACCTAAAATCCTGGAAGAAGATGACGAAAAAGCAAAGAAAAACAATGAGAGCAAAAAAGCAAAGTGAAGAGAAAAAATAGAACAGCAAACATGAGAAGAGAAAAATGGAAGTTCACCTAGAAGGAGAGAGATTGCAGGGGAGGGAGATAGAACTCTAGATGCATTGGCATACGCATAGTTTTGCTAGAAAAAAAAACATACACGTGTTAAACAAATAGGCACACAAAAGATAAAGTAATCAATACCCAATGAAAATGGTACACATTTATAGTACCATTCAAATAACTTTGTGTACAATCCTCAATTCCAGTCTTAGTCCTATTGTTGTTGGCTTATAAATAAGGGTAATAATAATAAGGGTAAAATAAAAAATGCTTTTGATATTATAGTACAACTTGAACTGCTTTTGGTATAATTTCTTAAAGGGCATAATACATATATTGGCCCCTAAACTTGGCTTCAAATTTTAACTTTGACCTCCAACTTTCATAATGCACAAATAGGCACTTTAACTATCCTACCTTTAAATAAATAAACACGCGATTTTTGAAGTCAAAAGCGTGCAATGCAAACGCTCCCACGTGTATTAGTGGCCCACTCAATGGCTGCCAACTATTCAATGCATGTGGG